AGGAAAGGGGGGGGAGCTGGGGGGGGGGGGGGGGGAAATGCACAGAGGCCCCCAGTCCAGAATCAGTGGCCCAGCCATGAAGCCTGAAGGAAGCCATTTCTCTCGAACGGCATCCCAAGAATATTCTTCACCTGCTGTGCTTAGTTTCAGGCTGAAACGAGGAAACTCCATCAGCAACGTGTCAGTGGATCGATACTTCTGTGTCCCCTTGTGCGCCACCACCTGCCCCCCGTCCCAAGTGAGCGACGTCCAGGTACGCCAGCCAGTGTTGGCTGCCTTGAGCCCATTCATGTTTTTGCATTCATATTTTGGAGGTGCCCCCGGGACAGAAAGATAGAATACCCCCCAGTTTCTGATTTTCAGATTTAGAAGCAAAGCAAAGCGCGCTGCTTATATACCGCCCTGTAGCGCTTAAAGCACTCTGGATGGTTTACAGTTGAATGATGCAGGCTACGATTGTTCCCGTCTCCGCCCAGCAAGCTGGGTACCCAGTTTACCGACCTCAGAAGGATGGAAGGCTGAGTGAACCTCAAGCCGGCTACCTGGGATTGAACCCTAGGTCGTGAGCAGAGTTTTGGCTGCAATACTCCAGTTTAACCACTGTACCACGAGGCCCCTTACAACATTTGAAATATTTTAGCACCTCATAGATGAACGTGGGGTGTTCACTGCCATTTAATCTGGAGGGAAAGAGAATCAGGCAGGGAGGTGAGCTCTGGAAGACCGACGAAGCCCATAAAAGCCTCTCCTCCAGGAGCTGAAATGGCCGGATAATCATGGCATCTTTTTCCTTCATGCAACATCTTGCACTCTCTCTCTCTCTTTCTCTCTGTGTTCCCATGGCCAGGAAGCCCACGCCTCGGAGGTGAACGCCATTAGGTTCAGTCCAAACATGAGCCTCCTGGCCACAGGTGGAACGGACAGGCTGATCCGACTCTGGAACGTGGTGGGAGGTAAGCTGTCTGCCAAAGGCCCGGCTCACCCTCTCTCCTACAGAGAGCTGGGGGAGAGTCCAGTTTTGGGGATGGTATCTCCCTCCTAGCGTCCACTCGCAACCCGCACAGCCAGGCAGGCTGGGAGATTCTGAGCCTTGCTGAGCGGAAAGTAACTTCTCCTTAACTCTGCCCCCAACTGACTAAGGAAGAATCAAGTTAGAAGCAGTAAAAGCACTTGTTTGGGGCAGAGAGTTTAAGATTTTCTGCACTCTCTTAAAATCAGAATTAAATGGGGAGAATACAACCAAAGCCATAAACACATGAGTCATTCCAGTCATTAGATACCCAGCTGGAATAATAGATTGGACCCAAAATGAATTAGGACAATCGGATCGAAAACCACAGCAACTAATGAAAATGCATCACACAGTATATCTAAAAAGTGATGTGGACAGATTATATTTACTAACAAAAAATCGTAGAGTGTGGATTACTGCAAATAGTAGAGGAAGAAAAAAGAGGCCTAAATGATTAGATCAGTACAAGCAGAGAAAAATTTCTTGGAAGCAGTGAAAATGGAGAAAAGTCTGGAGGCAGGCGGTGCATCACAGACTCTCCCATTTTGAAGAAGAGACCCTTGTCCAGCAGGCCGAGGCCAAGAGGCCATCCCGAAACCAGCCAAATCAGGGAGCTGGACGGGGGACAGTATTGTGTTTGCCTTCCATGTGGAAGGGATTGTGTCACTCTCGAATTAGCCTTCTCAACTACACCAGACGCTGTTCCCAGTCCTCCATTCAGAGCACATGACCCTCGTCTCTGGAGACGGAAGGAGGACTCTGGAAAGGGTCACCGTCAGTCAGGACTGACTTGACGGCACACCATTCTTATTAAAGCAACACTAGAAATGTTCCAGATCAAAGGGTAGATACGAATTTCTAAAACAAGTGGTTAAATCTGATTCTGCGCAAGGCAGTCAACACAAGCTGCTTAATTCTGGGGTGGCCAACCAGGCCAAAATATGCGTGCAAAATGTGATATACGTAGAGAGGGAGCGATTTGTCATGCAGTCTGACGGATTGGCCTCTGGGACTCGCTCCCACATGGAGCAGCTTCTTGGAGGTTATTAAAATTGAGCGCCCAGCACAATCCGAACCGACTTGTCAATCGCACTGGAGATTAGCAGACCCTCTTTAAGCACTGCTTAGTGGCCATTGCCTGTTTTTAAAGTGGGACAAGGCGTCTTTGCTGCCCCTTTGATCCTTCCCAGAGGAGGTGGCTGGCCGCCGCACCCTGACTGTCCTTTTCCGATGCTCCTCAGGTCGGCTGGAGACCCTCGAGACCCTGGAAGGGGCCAACGGCAGCCTCACCAGCATTGACTTCGACCCTTCGGTGAGTGTGTGGCCAAACAGGACAAACCGCTGGCGACGTGCGTGAGCTGGATAAAGCACGGTGGCTCAGAGCAGGATGGATGTTGCATTCCGCGTGTGCAGGATCCTCCCCTTCACCCCAAGTGGCTCGGTGGGGATGACTCAGAGCTCCGCTTCAGGGGAGTAGCCGAGCCGGGAGTCGCAGAGTTGAGGTCTCCGGAGTTTCTGAACCGCAGGGACGACCAGCTTGCCTGCCCTTCTCTCCTCGCAGGTTTCGTTCCTCCCACTCTGTGCAGAGCATAGAGAAATGGCTTCTTCCAGGAACAGGCCAATGCGTGCATGCTGTCGCTTCTGTGTTTCAGCTTAACAGGCTCTTCAGTAAGCAATTAGGAGCCAGTAACCTTACAAAACACCTGTTCCTAATGGGTTGATCTGAACCCATCTGGAGTGATCTCTACCCACACACACAAAAAAGAGAATCCCCTGACAGGACCCAGAAAGGGGCAGTTAGCAACGCTTTAGGGGCCGGGCTGATCGGCTCCAGCAAATAGGTTGCCTGGCCTCCGTTTTTAGGTGGAAATGCAGCAGACGGCGGGGTAAATGCCCATGTAGTCGCCCTTTCAGTCCCATCCAAGCCCCACACCCCGGTGCTAGACTTGCAAATGAAGGCTTGAGATGGACCATCCCATCCATGACTCATTATGAAACAAAAGCAAGCTAATTTGCAGCATGAAGAATGAGGCCAATGCAAGCTAAGATACACAGACATCTTTTGCCTCTTAAGGGAGTTCTGCTGCCAATGGTGTTGTCTCAGGCAGGGCAGAGGAAAGCTGATAAACACGCCCCCCACGGTCTCTCCGTTTTTGTCTCCCACCAGGGCTGTCACGTCTTGGCTGCTACCCACAACAACGCTGTGCAGCTCTGGAAGACTGGAGAGTGTCGGTTCAAGGTGAGTTCATCCAAGACCTTTGCTTTGTGGGGGGACAGGAGTGGCAGAAGAGGGCGAGGGTGGGAAGAGGCTGGCGGGATGTATTCTCCAGGGCCCCGGGCATAGGATGCTCCCTCACAGGCACCGGCCGCAGCTCTGCAGATGATGTGGTGCCTGCCTTGAATCCCAGTGGCAGCTGAGCAGGACGGGGAGGGGCCCATAACCTTCGGATCATTGCAAGGTCCCGGGTGGTCTCGCTTGGAACCAAAGGGCGGAATCAACTCCTTCCTTCCTTCCTTCCTTCCTTCCTTCCTTCCTTCCTTCCTTCATCCCTCCCTTCCTTCCTTCCTTCCTCCCTCCCTTCCTTCCTTCCTTCCTTGACGGGCGACCCAGGAAGATGAAGAAGCAGGGCTGTTCTCTGAACATCTTGGATTTTCTAGGAAATCCTCACTGGACACACAGACAAAGTGACGGCCGCCCGCTTCAGGTCCACCCGCCACCAGGTTGTGACGGGCAGCCGAGACAGGACGGTGAAAGAGTGGGACCTGGGCAAAGGGACATGTAAGTGCCAAGGAGAGGGGAGAGAGGGTGTGTGTGCTGGGAGGATGGCCCTCGCATGGCCATCAGCGCCACGCCATGGCCAAGCCCTTCTTGGGGGGGGCACCACTTTCCCATGCCATGCCCATTGTCCCTAACCCGTCCTGTCTCCGGTGGCCTCTCAGGTACCAGAACCATCCACGTCTTCTCCTACTGCAATGACGTCGTGTGTGGCGACACCATCATTATCAGCGGACATCACGACCAGACCATCCGTTTCTGGGACAGCAGGTGAGCCCACCTGCAAATGGACGTGGGCGTGGGAACGCTGGGGTCACAAATCAGTGACTCAATCCCAGTGGCCGGGACCTGGTCGGTGGGAAAAGGCCCAGCCCTTGTTTCTGTTCTCCAGGAGCTGATTCCCAAAAGTCAGGGGAACAGTTGAAGAGCCTGTGCTTATTATGTACCATCAAGTAGCCTCCGATCCCGCGAATGAGCCGTCTCCAAAATGCCATGTGCTCCACTTGTCCTGCTCCGTTGTTCTAAACTGAAGCCTATGGTTTCTTATAAGGAGTTGGTCCATCTCGTATTGTGTCTTCCTCTTTTCCTGCTACCTTCCACCTTTCCTAGCATGATGATCTTTTCCAGAGAATCCTGCCTTCTCAGGAGGAGAGCACTCCAGGGCCCCCGTTTGCAGCCGAGAAGGCTTGTTTATTTATTTGTGACCCAACCCTAGATCCACGGAGCTCAGCGCAGAGCTGTTGAGACGTGGCCTTGAGTTGCTTGTGGCTGATCGCCGCCCTCTGAATGAACCACCCCAAAGGCTTTGTCCTCACCAGGCAGGCTCAGGTCTTGCAAACTCAAGGCTGTGGCTTCCTAGATGGAGTCAATCCATCCCATGTTTAGGTCTTCCCTCTGTTCCTGCTGCCATCCGCTTTTCCCAGCTGGGGCCTTGGGGGGGGGTGGACAGGAGACCGAGGCAGGTCTGCTGGGTGGTCCTTAAGTCGCTTCCAGTGGATATACACATTTCTGAGTCCCCTGGAAAGAATGCCCGGGACCTTGGCAAAAACCAATGTCTTGCCCCTCGGCTTCCTGCCTGCAGGGCCATTTCCCTCTCCACACCTTGCTTGTCACTTGTGAAACAGGAGCGTGGATTCATTCCCTTTGACCTGGTCCAGAACTTGGGAAAGTTTTTTTTAAAGTCTCTTTGTGCCCTGGCTGATTTGGCGATTTTATAGTTGAAAATCCTGAACTTTTTCCAGGATCCGATCCAGTCTCGTGGAGTTCCGCTGGCCCGCGTGCGGTCAGAGCAAACCATTCCAGAATCCCAAGAAGTGACAGAGGGAAGGAAACAGGCCCCTCGTGTCCATCCACTTTGGCTTAGGCAGGCAACCCAGTTGTGATGTGCAAATTGTGTTAGTGGCATGCCGTTAAAGTACAGTTCTGGGTTTTTTCCAAAACACTCCTCAGCATTCAATGAAATGCCGAGCTTCCTCCACTCCCCGCGTGAGGTGGCGCTTGTTGTGGCCCACGAGGGGAACCTGTCTCTTCCTGTCTCCCATCATCTCCAGGGAGCCCCGGTGCACCCAGGTGATCCCCGTGGAAGGCACGGTGACCTCCCTGAGCCTCAGCCTCGACCAGATGCACCTTCTGAGCTGCTCTCGCGACAACGCCCTCAAGGTCGTTGACCTCCGCATGCACAACGTCCGGCAGGTGTTCAGGTGAAGGGGCCGGGAACTCTGCAAGGCTCGGGTGGGGTCGGGTGGGTGGCCTGCAGACGGTATCCAGATCTGGACCTGATCCTGCAAGGATCAACCCACATGGGTTTCAGCCTGACTCCAACCTTAGGCAAGGGGCTCCTAGTCCTGCCTCCGTTGCCCCTGGAAAACAGGGAACGCTCTCGGAGGCTGTTTCAAGGTGCAAAGGGCCAAGGCTCGATGACCCACACCAGGGACGTCGCCTCCAGGTGTCTGCCCAGCATCGTGGCAGGTTGAGGGACTCCGTCCCTTTCCAAAGCGGGCCATCTTCCGAAGCAAACCTCCCCCTCCCCCAATTTAAAGGAACGGATGTGATGCACAGTCATAACAAGGAGTCACACTGGACATCAAAACCGAAAGATTCAGATCTCAAATTCTAACCCAGAGAAAGGTTGGTGGCTTTTGCTCATCGGATGCTCAGTAGGATACAGGTTTCGTGTCTTTCTAAAATAAAGCCAAAGCGACGATAAAGCGTTATGCTTCTGTACCTCCCCCAGAGTGCTCAAGGCACTCTCTGGGTGCTGTGCAATTTAATTCTGCAGGCTACACCTTGCCTCCTTCCCACCGCCCCTCGAACTGGGTGCTCAATTGACTGACCTTGGAAGGATGGAAGGCTGAGTGAACCACAAAGCAGCCCCCTGGGATTGAACTCGGGTTGTGAGCGGAGCTTTGGATGCAGTATTGCAGTTCAACCACTATGCCACGATTTAAAGGGATGGGCATGAGGATAATACACACACACACACACACTTCTTCTTCTTTAGATCAGGTGACAGTCCAACCACAGACGAATTCCAGATTTGTTGTGGGTTGGGAAGAATCAGCTCATGCCAGAGCACCGACCAAGTCACTCTGTTGGAATATAACTTCCAGATCAACTGTTGCCACTGCCCCTAGCGTGGTCAGTGGCCATGTAGATTAGTTAAACAAAGTTTTTTTTTAAAAAAAATCAGCTGTGATGTGAAGTCAGAAAATGAGCTTGCTCAGCTCACTGGCCTGTTCTTTCTTTTGTAGGGCTGACGGATTTAAGTGCGGGTCTGACTACACCAAGGCAGTATTCAGGTGAGTTTCTACTAAGACAAAACAAGGGATAAAGGCCTCTAACCTGGAGCGGAGTGGTGAGAAATTAGGGTTTTTTTAAAAAAAAAAGTCTTAATGATGCCACTGATTAAAATTCAAGTAGAAACCTACAGAGCAGACTGGCTTCAAGTCTCCCCTCCATAGACCATCCCTTATTGGTTAGTGTACCTTCGCTGGCACTTACGGTCTCAATACATTCACTCAAAGTTTCTGGTAGTGAGAAAAATAAAATAAAATGTCTCAGTTGGCTTACAATTTTTCATAAATAAAAACAAACATCGTATTTTTAAAAAAAAAATTAACTTGTGACATAACCAGCTTAACTGGCCAACTAGCTTCATGTTTATCTGTGAAGATTCTCAGTTGTCCAGGTGAGGTTATCTGGAAGTTGAGTCGTGGGGCCTGGACGTGTGTGCATGTGACTGAAGAAGTGGCTTGGATGAGTCGCGAAACGATTCAGCCTAAGAAGAAAGAAGGCCAGTTGCCAGGACTCAACGGCCAGATAGCTTCATGTTGACTGGCATGTGGACAGAACACTTCTGGATTAACTGTTTTCAGACTCCATAATACTAACTCTGACTTTTACTGAAACCGGACTGGGAAAAAGACTCTGATACAGAGAGGGAATGATGGGCTCCTACTGAGTTCACCGAGAGCTACCCTGGTCCAGAACAGTCCCTCCCAGCTAAAAACTCTCAAAGGCGTTATAGGTCACTTATCCAGGGCTTGAAAATATTAAAAACATTAAAAGAAAAATCCTAGACGTCTATATTTCCACGGTGTCATTACTAGAACTGGCCACTAGAGGGATCCAGAGACCATGCACTGTATACAGTGTTAATTTTAAAAATAAGGCTCAATATAATCTGCATTTTGCAGCATCGGCGGGTGAGGGGAGGTGTCTAAAGGTCTTCTTTATCCTCTTTCTGGTGGATCTCCACCGCCCTCTTCTTCTTCCAGCCCTGACAACAGTTATGCGTTAGTTGGATCGGCAGACGGCACCCTCTTCCTCTGGAGCATGGAGACAGGCAAGCTGGAGGCCACCTTGCCCGGCGTGCATCGGTAAGCACCTTCCCGGTGATTGTGATTGGCTGGAATCATGTTGCCGAGGTGTCCGGGTTGGGACCTGGTCTCTCTCGGTGACCTTGGTTGTAGGATATGTGAAAAAGCCCCCCGCCCCGACCCTTATTCCACCAACACAGACATGAATATACTATCGGACTGCGTTGAGCCTGACAGATTTTCAGTTCAGGCGCACAAAGCACAGCAGCACGCTTTTGTGTTGCACAGCGAACTATAATACCTTTCAGAGCGACGATGGACTTTCTGGTGTGGTTTCCAGAGGAATTTTGTAAAATGGGCTCACCGTGGCGTTTTTGTAATATTCTCTCCCATTCTTGTGTTTTTTTCTGGGGGTGTGTGTGAGAGAGGGGTCACGAAGAGTCAGACACGACTAAGCGACTGAACGAACGAACGAACGTGTGAGAGAGGAGAGGTGCTGTGCTTGCCCTCTTGTGTTTTTTTCTGGGGGGGGTGTGAGAGAGGAGAGGTGCTGTGCTTGCCGCCCTACTTTGGGCCCCTGCCGTGCAGGTTTAGGGGACCCATCTTCCCGCTCTGTTTCCTCTTCCCTTGCCTCCAGGTCTGCCGTAAATGCCGTGGCTTGGAGCCCCTCGGGAACCTGCGTTGGGAGCGTGGAGCGATGCCGGAAGGTGGTTCTTTGGAGGTAGCCCATGGACAGACTCGGGGCCTCCTTTCGCCCGCCAGCTCTCCTCATCTCCCTCCGGCTGGCCTGCTGGTGCCTCTCGCTGCTGCGCTCTGGACTAGAACTCGCCTCAGACTCTGATCAATGGGGGGGGATGGGGCACAAGGCTGAGCTTGTCCTGTACACAAGAGGGAGAAATTGTCTCTCGGGTGCAACCCCTAAAAGAAAGAAAGAAAGAGAAATGGTCTACTCTGATGCAAGATGTTGCAGGAATGGAGCTCAGTCTCCAAGAGAAAAAGTCCCACTCTGCATGGGATCTCTCGAGCAAGACAGCGTCCCCAGGCTTTTACCTTCGAGAAATCTCTCCGGCGTCGCTGGGCATGCGGGACGATTGTGCAAGAGAATCAAGATGGAGCGACCTCTCTATCCGTGGCTAATAGCCTAGTAGAACCTCCATGGACTGCAGCACTGTATCTCTGTTAATGCCGTGGACAGCCAAGAAGGGAAGGCTTTCACCTTCCTGCTCCGCTTGGGGGATGTGGCTGGGGCGTCTGGCTAGGCACAGAAGACGAGGCTGGAGGGATCTTTGATACGAGCCCCCCCCTCGAGATGGGGGGGGGATCAGATCCTAAAGGCCGTCCCAGAAGACCCTTGTCTTCCATAGGAGCCTGCCCCCCCCCATGGCCAACAGTTCCAGACCTAGTGGTTGCTTCTGAAGCTGCACCTCCTTATCTGTGACACCAAGGTGAACAGACTGGCTGGAGGGCTCAGTGGTTTCAGCCTCTGGCTACAGAGCCAGCGGTTGTTGGGAGTTTGATTCCCCCAAGGTGCTTCTCGGGAGAAGAGCCAGCCTGGGTAGCCCTGGGCAAGCTGCTTCCACAGTGAGCCAAGAAGGGAAAGGGGAAAAATAGGTCTGAGCATCGTATTTGCAAAGGCTTTCACTGATGGGATCTAATGGTGGTTGTGGGTTTTTCCCAAGAAGGGAAAGGGCATCGTATTTGCGAAGGCTTTCACGGCCGGGATCTAATGGTTGTTGTGGGTTTTTCGGGCTCTTTGGCCGTGTTCTGAAGGTTGTTCTTCCTAACGTTTCACCAGTCTCTGTGGCCGGCATCCTCAGAGGACAGTACCAGAGCACGGAGTGCCGCCCTCTGAAGATGCCCTATGGCCACAGAGACTGGCGAAACGTTACGAAGAACAACCTTCAGAACACGGCCCAAGAGCCCGAGAAATCCACAACTTTTGAGCATCCTCTGTACTGAGAAACCCTGAGATGGGCTGCCATAAGTCAGGATTTGCTTGATGGCACCATAATTATTCCTAACCATTAGGTGAATGAAAAGTGAATCAGAGCTTGGAAAAATTACTTATATTTTTTTTTACTTCAGCTCCCAGAGCAGCATGGCCAGCTTTCCCATGCGCTGGGCTAGTGCTGGGAGGTTGGACGGAGCAAATGATGTTTGGGAGAGCAAGAGGGGATGGTGATGAAGACTGTAAGGTGGGATCAAACATCTCCCCAGCCTTCTTGTATTTTGAAGAGCATCCCACAGTCGAGGTTCATCTCCCTCTTGAGCCAGAGAGAGAGAGAGAGAAGAGAGAGAGAGAAAGAGAGATGGGATTTGGAAATGCTCTGCTCCGACCACTGATGACTGCTGTCACAGGGTTGTTGAGATACGGTGGTGGGTAGAGAAGGATCCTTAGCATGGGGATATAGTACCCCAAGCAGCTCTTCCAGGGATGAATGGATAAAAATGCAATAAATGGCCTGCTTGGCCTTTGGTTTGCAGACGAAGCCCTTTTAAGGTGAGGAAGCTGTCAGTGGGAGTGAAAAGGGTGGCCGGGTCTCTCCTTGCGCATCAAATGAGAAAAAGCAAAAAAAAAAATTTAATTGTTCCCTTTGTGAGACGCGTGATGATTTTCCCTGTCGTCGTTCAGTCTCTGGGAGAACGTGTGCGTTTGTGGGCCTGAAACGTCTTCGTTTCTGTAAATGTGTGACATTTAAAACAGTGGCCAGTCCTTCCTTGTTGAGCAGAAAATTTAAAGAAGCCCAGAGCGGCTTGCATCGTTCAGCATGACCCTGTGGCTTCACACACTATGAGAAAAGGTGCCCACAGTGGAAGGTGTCCCTAATTCAAAGAGACAGGGAGCACCAGGAAGGGGTGGGTGGGCAGAGAATCTGAACTTGTGCCAACTGGAAGAGTCTATGCTGTCCCCCCCCCAAAAAAAAAACAATCTGTGTTTCCATGCTCGGTTGTGCAGCTGCTTTAAAGACTTCGGAGGACACCAGGGGTGCTGGTGGGAGCAGGCTGATGCGCTCAACATGCAATGTCTTGCTGGCTGACGGAGGCCGTGGCCTTCAGGCGTTCTCACAGCAGAAGCAAGAGGAGTCAAACTGACCTCTTTCTCTCTCTCTTGCTTGGGGAGAGAATTCTTTGACCAGAGATGAAGGTCAGGAGCAGCACTGGGCGACTCGACCCTGGGGAGGAAAAGGAATTATGTGCATACCAGCATCCTGCTTCTGAAGGGCACCCAAGCCTGCCAAAGAAACGCGGCGCATGAGAGACAGAAACTTAACAGGCAAAGCTTTCCTAGAAAGTGGCCACTATGGGTGCACCCCCATAGCGGTAAAGATTCCCCTTGACATTGAGTCCAGTCATGTCCGATTCTAGGGCGCGGTGCTCATCCCCGTTTCCAAGCCGTAGAGCCGGTGTTTGTTCGGAGACAGTTTCCGTGGTCACGTGGCCAGCACGACTAGACACGGAACGCTGCGACCTTCCCACCGTGGTGGTACCTATTTATCAACTCGCATTTTTACCTGCTTTCGAACAGCTAGGTTGGCAGGAGCTGGGACAAGCGACGGGAGCTCACTCTGTCGCGTGGATTCGATATTCTGACCTTACATCCCAGAGGCTTCTGTGGTTTAACCCGCAGCGCCACCACGTCCCCGTGCACCCCCATAGGCTCTCACATTGTTAAGGACACAGAGACATACTAAGAAAAAAAGATGGAAAATCAATGTTTCTTCATCAGAATCTTCCCTTATCAGCTCCCCTTTTTTCCCACACCTCAGGGGACTGCTTTTGAAGTGGGACTTAATCCCCAGAACCTGGACTTTGTTGCTATGGTGCTTCTGCACTCAGGTTGCAGGTGAGTTTCCATCATCCTTGTTTCTTTGATGAAGATTCAGTTCTCACAGGCAGAAGTTAAACAGGTAAAGCTTAGGTTAGAATGTGGAGAGGCAAAAGGGTTTCCTCTAAGCAAAGGAGTCAGACAAGGGTGCATTTTATCCCCTTATCCAATCTGTACGCAGAACATCTCATACAGAAAGCTGGACTAGATTCAGATAATGGAGCGAAAATCGGAAGAAGCATCAATCATCTAAAATATACAGTTGACATATTTGAGCAGCAATGACTAGAAGAAGGCAGTGTCCGTAGAGACCAACCACACTCTTGTACTCTTGAACACCACCTATGGGTGTGAAAGCTGGACAGTTAAAGAAAAAGGCAGTGTCCGTAGAGGCCAACCACACTCTTGTATTCTTGAACACCACGTATGGGTGGGAAAGCTGGACAGTTAAAGAAAGTGGAAAGGGGGAGGAACCAGTGATGACCAGTGGTCAGCTCTGGAAAGGGCTCCTGGTCCCTGGGCAATGTTTGTGTTCCTGGAAGGGATTTATCACCCATCAGGAGAGATTAGGGGTCCTAAACAGAGGGAGAAATCCTGAGGTGATCACGGAGGTGTCGGAAGGCGACCTCCAAAGCACAGGGAAAATCCCCCTTTGTGACCAAGCTGTTGGAAGGGGCCAGAAATATGGCGCTGAGTCGTGATTGCTCCATGTAAACAACAGAACAGGAGCTTATTTGAGATGAGATATACCAGTGGACAATAGAAAGTGGACGGGGAAAAATGATTCATTTGAAATATGTTGCTGGTGGAGAGCTTCCGAGATACACTGGACTTTCAGAATGATGAACAAGTGGGTCCCAGAGCAAATCAATATTCCTGAATATTCTCAGGAGGCAAAAATGTTGAGATCAAAGCCGCCGTGGTTTGGTCACCTCCTGAGAAGGCAGGATTCTCTGGAAGAAGCAATCATGCTGGGGAAGGGGAAAGGCAGCAGGGGTCCCCAGGCCCAGAGAGGAGTTGTACTTAATGAATTTAATTTAACGGCTGGAGAGAAAAAAAACCTATGACATATTGCACTGCCGTCTGCTGGTGTTTCAGAAGCTCTCATTTCGTCTCAGACTTCTAGGTAGCAGGTGCCAGAGAGATTAGCAGAGAGAGGGCAGTGAATTTTGGCCAGCTGAACTCCACAGCTGGCCTGGTGGTCAAAGATTTTTGCTTTTCACAAGAGGTCTGGAGATGGTGTCAAGGGCTGGCCCAAGCACATGCAGAACCCGAGTGTGAAAAAAACGCACACAAACCCCTCCCCTTCCCCGGGAGACCTTTGACTGTTTAATTTTGACTTTATCCTGAGCCCTTCTCCATCTTCTGGCTAAAAACCGCCTAACTTATGAAAAGAGGAAACCCGTGGTGCGGAATTGTCCGTTGGGTGTTCCCAAGCAGGAAAATGTCATTAATGGTTATGGGCCCTCTTTCGTCAACATTGTGATGGCCTTCATCATCGGCAATGGATCTAAACTGCATTTCCCGGTGGAAATCTTGCCCATTTATCTTAATCTCCAAACAACTTTACAATAGAAATCCAGTTCTCCACAGCCCTTGTAAGTGCAGAGAACTCCCGTACACAATCTCTTTGGGGATTGGCAGCTTTTCAGCCATCACCTATAATGCATGATACAACCCAACGTTTTTGCCAGGGATGCATGCCCCGCCCCCGCCTCACCCTCTTTCTGACTAGGGTGACCGGTGGAGAAAAGCGAGAGGGTTCCTGGACCGTTAGTCATTGCTTCAAAGAGGAAAAGCAAGCAACACTAGCTGAAATGTTTTATTTATTTAGAATATTTTTACCCTACCTTTCTGTTTGAAAAAGACCCAAGGCGGCTTACATCATCCATTGAAAAGCAATATTTAGAGCTAAAAACAATGAGTATACAAAGCAGCTTACATTATTAAAAGACAATATTAAAAGTTAAAAACACTTAGATTAGGCATTCTTCCATCTTGAAATACTAGGGTAACATGCTTTGGACAGAGGACTTGGAACAGCATCTAGTGTGGCTGAGGGGGCCAATTCGCAAATGACCATCCCTTCCACACTGGAGACAAATCCAATCTAGCCCCTGTCCAGCTCCCTGATTTTGCTGCTTTTGGGACTTCCTCTTGGCCTCGGCCTGCTGGACAAGGGTCTCTTCAAATTGGGAGAGGCCTTAATGTAATGCCTGCCTCCAGGCTGAATGCTCAGAGGTCCAGGTTTCCCATCTGTTGAGGTCCATTCCTCTGAAGTCCTTCAGATCCCGCTGGCAGATCTCCTTGCATCGCAGCTGTGGTCTCCCTCTGGGGCGGTTTCCCTGCACTAATTCTCCATACAGGAGATCCTTTGGATTCCGACCATCGGCCATTCTCACGATGTGCCAAAGCCAATAAAAATACTAAGTATAGAAATGTTAAAAAGGAACAAACAAATACCAATCTGAGAAATGGTAGGCACTAGCAATGCTAACACCACAAAGCAGAAATGCACGGTCCATTTAGAAAAACCCGTCTCAAGCAGCCAGTCACTGAGGTAAAGCTTGCCCCAGAAGAGAAAGGTCTTTGGCTACTTGTGGAAGGGAGACAAGATGGGGCCAGGCTTGCCTCCAGTGGGAGGGAGTTCCACCGTCTCTGGGAGCAGCCACAGAGAAGGCCCCTCTCCTCTGTTCCCTTCATATATTGATTAAAGGCACCGAAACCTG